CTCAGACCATTCCTGCCTCTTGTCCTTTTGACTTGGATCACAGGAAATTTCAGGGCATAGATAGAATGTCTTAGGTTGTTGTGCCCCAGAATTTTGAACCTCAGGAGTATGGGATGTATAAGAAATTGCTGGGATATATCTTGGAAGATGTGAAAATGCAGAAAGACTGAACTGGGTAGGTTCTATTAGAATTATATTTTTTTTATTTTGGCTAATTTTTTTTTTTCTACATCTTTTAGGGTTTTACGCTTTTACTTTGACTGCTGCAGTGATTGGAACTTTATTATACTTTCAATTTGAACTTGATTATTTGTATGATCACTTCCTGCAATTTGCAGTATCAGCTGCAGCTTTTTCTATGGGGTTGAGTATTTATCTGTATATTCGGTCCCTGAAAGCTCCCGAGGAAGAATTAGCACCAGGTGGAAATTCTGGTGAGTTATAAATATTTTGGATAATTTCTTTCCAATTGTTTGCTACAGTTTCATTGTTATGAATGAAAGACTAGATTTTGGGCTGGTTATTGTAATACTGTGACTTCCAATTTCTACAAATGTAACATTCATGTTGCAGGTTAAATGACAGTTTTTTGCTCCTATGTAGATCCTGTAAAATGCTTAAAATTTTAGTTGAATTACCTTGGTTAGCTTACGCCTCACAGTATCCTCAGTTCTTTTGTCAGTGCAGTATGTACATGTGTGAAGGGAAATAATAAGTGGTCATAAATAGTGTTTTCTTTGAAAAATAAATTTCTAGTTTCTGTAAATGGCATAGTAGTAGCATTCTGTAACTGTTGTGCAAATTGGTTGTTATTTGCAAACTCAGTTCAGGGTATCTTGAAGTCAAGGTACTTGTATTTTCCTTCTTTCCATCTCTTTTGATGGACAGGTAATTGTCACAGGTAGAGGAACTGTTGTTTCCAGAGAAGAGCAGTGAAGTAGGAGGAAAAGCAGAATTAATTAATACCATAAGGTCATGTTCATGGAAGCTGATGAGAGCTTCAGGCTAAGGCTGAAAATAAAGAAGAAACAAGTGTCAAGGAGAAAGAAGCCAACAGCAACTTCTAAAGTGTTTAGTCTTCCTAATAAATAAAATATATGCGCCTCTTCAAATATAAACCGTGTGGGGTTTGCTTTGTATTTTGCATATACTCTCACATTTTTCTTGCCAGTCTGAAGACTTTATTCTATTTATACTGAGAGAACTTGAATAGAAAGTAGTGGCAGATGAAAGGAAGAGTACTGCTAACAAGGACTGTGTCTTACCTGCAGGGTATTTTGTTTATGATTTTTTTACTGGGCATGAATTAAACCCTCGTATTGGCAGTTTTGACCTCAAATACTTCTGTGAATTGCGTCCAGGATTAATTGGCTGGGTGAGTCAGTTATCTTAGTTATTTTATTTCCTTAAATATTACACAAATTGATTTTTTTTAATGCATCAATAAATACCTACTGTATCCTTAATACAGTGCAGACAGGAAAAAAGTATGTACAAACAGTTCCACATTGCCATATTTTCAATGGCCATTTTTACTCATCAGGAAAATTTTTGCATTCTAGCTTCTTTGATTTTTGGGAACTGGAAAGCATTCTTCCACTCTTCCTATGTTAAAGTTATACAACATCAGAAATGCAGTTAGTTCCAAACCGTGGCTTGTGAAATAGGCTACTACTTGTTTAAACATAAACACTGATCAAAACCGTCTGTATTAAAATGTTCAATAGAGTAATAGAAAAGACCACACTTTCTTTTACAAGGAAAATTTGTAATCAAATATTGCCTACACTAGGTTGTTATAAACTTGGCAATGCTCTTGGCCGAGATGAAGATACACAATCAAAGTATGCCATCGCTGTCCATGATACTTGTGAACAGCTTTCAACTCCTCTATGTGGTGGATGCTCTTTGGAATGAGGTAAATTACACTTGTACTAAATTGCTACCATTTCTAAGTACAATGCTAAATGAATGAAGCTTTGTCAATTCTGAATTCTTTCCTCCTTGTTTCTAGGAAGCTGTTTTGACTACAATGGACATTACCCATGATGGATTTGGATTCATGCTGGCATTTGGGGATTTGGTGTGGGTTCCATTTGTCTACAGTCTGCAGGCCTTCTATTTAGTTGGTCATCCTACTGCCATTTCTTGGCCTGCTGCTGCAGCAATTACTATTCTGAACTGTAAGTTATAGTACATGTTATTGTTCTTGGTAGCAACAGTGCAGTATTGATTTTGTTTCTTTGAGTTATGAGGTGAAGCTTTAGCTAAGATGCAGTGATCATATTTTCTGTCTTGCCATATGTGGTAGAAGCATGTTACTATTTAATAAAAATAATATAATAAAGTCTCATTTTATTAAATGAAGGCTACATGAGACTGGAGACCTAATTTTTCTGTTGAGAAGTGTCTTTAGATGCTGTCTGGAGTCGCAGAAGTCACTTAAAAAAATTTTGAAGTGTAGCAGGTGCCTTTTAAAGTCAGTTTGAGTGATTGCAAAGGAATTCTATTAAAAAAAAGTCAGTAATTTGTTGGCTGTGCTTTACTGAACTTGGGGAAAAAAATGTTGTTTAACAATTTGCATCTCTTTCCATGATACCCACACCACAGTTACAGACTCATTTGACTGGAAAACATCTGCTTTTTCCTAGCAAGTGTATCTTTGGGGGACCTTAAATTTGCACCAAGACAGCCTTGTAGTTTGTCCCATTTATCTAGGTATTAAACCTAAAAACAAAATATTTTTTTTAGGCATGATAAAGAATGTAAAAACTTGGAAAGAATGTGAAGGCATACAATTTGCTATGTGCAATCCTGAGAAATAACAGCATCTTTTTTTCATTTCAGTTAATTTTTTTTTTTAAACATCTTTATTTGGAGTATGTTGTGATCATATTTTTTCAGTGCAGCCTCAGAAAAGCAAATTTAAGCTGCATTGTGAAAGTGATGGGGGAAATTAATTTCAAAACTAGATAATACTTAATTTCCTGGTTCTTCTAATAATATGAACTTGTTGGGCAGTTTATGGAGTAGGCACTGTAGCAGACTATGGGGTTGCTAACAGAGCTATAATCTCATAAACTGCAGCACCTCACCTTTATATGAATTTCAAACTCAATGTCACATCAATGAACTGTAAGTCAGATATAAATGTGAAAGTAGATGTGCAATTAAAGCTTCTCCAGTATCTTGGAAGTTAGTGATGTGCAAGAGCAGATGGAATGCAGGTTCTTAGTAGTGTTTCTATGTCACTGAAGCTCTGAGAACCAGAGAATATCAGTTACATCTCTGAGGAGATGTAATAAGCATGGCAGAGAGCATGTGGGTGCTTTGTTGAAGGAAAGAAAAGTGCAAAATACTGAAAATGCAAAATCATATTTATTTCCAGGTATTGGATATTACATATTCCGTAGTGCAAATTCTCAGAAAAATAGGTTCCGAAGGAATCCGGCAGATCCCACATTGGCCTGTAAGTGCATTTTTGATTTGTTCAGTTGCTGTACAATGTCTCTTTGTACTATTGAAATACACACTTCAATTGTTATGTTGACTACAATACTCTGTTCACAGATCTGAAATTTATACCCACTGCAACTGGAAAAGGGCTTCTTGTCACGGGTTGGTGGGGTTTTGTTCGTCACCCTAATTACCTCGGTGACATCATCATGGCTCTGGCATGGTCTCTACCCTGTGGTAAGTTCCTGAAACTAAAGTGGGTTTAATCAAAGATCTAGTCTCCCTGGAGCCTTTGCTTCTGCAGGCTGAACAACCTCAACTCTCAGCCTGTGTCACAGAGGTGCTCCAGCCCTCTTGACCATTTTTGTAGCCCTCCTTTGGACCTGCTCCAACAGGTCTGTATCGTCTTTCTGTTGGGGGCCCCAGAGCTCAACACAGTACTCCAAGTGGGGTCTCAGCAGAGCAGAGCAGAGGGGGAGAATCACCTCCTTCAGCCTGCTGGCCACGCAGTCTCTTGCTGCAGCCCAGGATGAAATTGGCTTTCTGGGCTGCAAGCACATGCTGCCAGCTCACATCCAGCTTCTCATTCACAAGTCAAGTGGCGTGCTCTGAGCAAAGCCAGAGTTGTCATCAACAGACAAAAGAGGGAAAACCTTGTGGGCCAGCTCAGTGCTGGAGATGTTTCACTATTTCTCTGGCTTGGATAGCTAAAGAGCTGAAAATACGTGCCAGCTTTGCATGCATTGAGAGTGAAGTTGGTAGATTTTGAGACTCTGAATTTTGGGGGGCTGGTGAGTCTTTTTTCTGTCTGTGTGTAAACACGTCGTACAGTTTTGCACTATCCCATTGAGTATTTGATGCTTTACAATATAGGATGCTTCAGTCCATCACAAGTTTGTCACCAGCTCAGTACACGTTGGACTCCATCTCAAAGGCCGTTTTGAACCTAGATGACCCTGTGATTCTATGCTGTTAATAGCTAACATTTCTGGATTATTTTTTCAGTATCTGTAGTGACTCTCTGACTTTATTCTCCAGGTTTTAATCACATTTTACCATATTTCTACGTGATATATTTCATCTGCTTGCTTGTTCACCGAGAAGCTCGTGATGAGCATCACTGTAAGCAGAAATACGGCTTGGCGTGGGAAAGGTATTGCCAGCGCGTGCCCTACCGCATCTTCCCTTACATCTACTAGAGCACTCCAGATGCCTGATTTGCAACTACAGTTAGCTTCTTTGCAAATAAAAATATACCTCTTACCTTTGCACTTGGTCTATTTATTATTTAGGCTTTTAAAAAAAAAAAAAAAAAAAGAAAAAAGTGACCAAACAGTGGAGTGCATCAACAACTATTTACAAGTAATTTTAGATATGTGAGTTATGTGAACTGACTGTCTGTGACTTCAATTTTTTTAAAAAAGGTGAATTTTAAAAAGTCTTTGAGCCCTAATTTTTCAAGGTAAATTTTATCTAGAATCCTGAGTTTACATTTTTTTACTGCATTTAATTAAGCACTGTGATGTAAAATATAGTATTTTCTTAATACAATGAATAAAGGAATTCCATCCAGTTCATTTTTTGGTGTTGTACCATCTGACTTTAGATGTCTGACCTAGTTGCCTGAATTGGAGGAGCAGCAGGGTCTTTTTGGTTGGTGGAGCTGGAAGCAGAGGATTTGACCCACCCAAGGGGCCCGTGCCATTGGCAGTGCTGCCCTGCAGCCCCGGGCCCAGAGCTGGCACATCTCAGCTGGCTCATCGTCTTCCCTCCTGGCTTTTCATTAAAGGCATTTTTGATCAGGGAGGCTCAGGTGGCTCCTCCTGCTCCATGCCTGCAGCAGGGATTAAGGAATGGCACTGGGAGAAGTGCGGGGGCACAGCTGATCCCCCCCATCCCCACATTCTCAAGGCAGTTTCAGCACCAACTGAGGGGCGACTCTGAGCAGCACCCCTGGCTCTGGCTTCTGGCTCAGACTCCTGAGGATAGATGGTACAAACTTATTTCAGCTGTGGGCAGAGCTGAGGGAGCAAGCAGTGAACCTGAAGTCTGCATCTTGCATTGGACACGGGGTAGCAAAAGGTGCAGTGCCTGTGTATTTGTCAGGAAAGAGTAGAAGGACCACAGCTGGCTGATTCTGAACTTTGTAAATTCTGTTGTCATGTACCATAGTGTTTACCCAGTGTGTATAATAAGGCCTCTGTGTTTTTGCTGTACAGTTTGGTTTTGGAAACGCCATAGCTTTTTTAGAAACGGGAGAAATCAGTAACTAACTCCATTTCCAGTAACTTAAAAAAAAAAAAAAAAAAGTTCATAGGATAAAGGTTTTTTGTAAATTAGTGTATTAATTTTGGAAACAACTGAAGCATTCATTTAAATATTTGTATTGACATACTTGCTATGAAAATCTAAGAGATGCTCCTCGATCCAAAGTTGCTCTTTTAATTTGGCATTGCTACCTCATATGTAGGTTTTGCCTTTTGTACTGATGCAGATAGAGAAAATAGCTATTTTTTTGCTATTGATATTTAAAACAACATTTTTTTACGTGAACCTGTGGTTAAACTCAACCACTTCCTAATATATTTTTGTATATATATGACTTTTTAACTAATGTATGTGTTCTAGTCGCTAGTTGTTCTTTGTCTAACTGGCTGTAAATCAGATGCCCATGCAGTATTTACTTTATAAGTAGAATAATTTTATATTTCCCTGCAATAATCTTGCATCAATTAACTAGCTTTTATTCTGTCATTGCAGCTGAGAGCTTTTCACATACATCATACATGAGGTTTATAACACAAATTGTCCAAAAAAAGCTTTTTAGAATCTAAAGTATAGTGCAGGTACCTCTACTTGGCTCACAGGAGGGTTCCTAATACATCAGAATGTGGCTGTTATTCATCAATTACTTTCAATTCTATTAAAACGTTGGTGTAATTGAAATCTAGCATATGACTTTTTTAATAGAACCCTCTATTTTGTACACAGGCATTTTTTTAAAGATAATTGTACATTTGAATTGTATATAATGTAGCTTGATTGTGACTGTCTCCTCTGAAAATCTGTATGTTAGTGTTGTAAGGAAAATGTTTGAAGACAAGTACTGGGATTGCTGGAGGCAAACAGCAGTGCCTGTAACAACACTGGAGAGCATTCGCTCCTGTGAAGCAGCAGATGGAACTGGGATACTTTTCTGAGTGGTTGCTCAGTGGATTAGTGGGAAATAGATGGATCATTTGACTGCACCAGTTTTCAGCTGGTGTTCTAAAATGTACTGAAGTGTGGGGGACAGTTTTAACTCCTCAGCATGTAAACTAGGAGCTGCTACTGCCATCCCAGTTTCATCTGCTTTGACAACACAAGGATGTTCAAATGTACTTCAGAGCCCTTGTCTTTCAAAACAGATCTTGACCGGTGGTAACTTCAGTTTATTTTTACTTGATGAGTTTTATGTGAATTTGATTTTGAAGTAATTGTTTATAATACAAACAAGTTTAAACTAAAATAAAGCTTTTGCTTAAAATTAAGTAGTGCTGCTTTTTTTTTTTTTTGCCTTTTTGTTTTTTTCCTCTTCCCCAGTTCATGGTGGTGGTGTCTGCAATAAAAAAAAAAGTCATTGATTTGCAAGATTGCTGGATCTGTGTGTCTTGTGTTTGTGGGCTGAATGTTACAAGCTCATGTGCAGTGCTTCTCTTAGCCTGTCTGGGAATTTTAAGGAAAGGAGGTCTCTCCATTTAAAAGGAGGTCTCCCTTTCTCCTTTATGCAGAAGTTTACAGATCTACCATCAGCCTGAGAGCACATTTGTTCTCTGAATCGGCTCTGTCTGTGCCACCTGCTTTGTACATCTGCCTGGACTGAAGAAAATCCAAGTGCTAAGAAGTAGGTGGCATGGCAGGGAAAGGAAAAGCAGGCTGAAACCCCTCAGTGGATAGTAACTTCCACTGTTACTGGAAAAGATGATGGCTTAAGAGAGGTGAAGTACTGCTTGTTAGACATGACTGAGAATTGTCAGACACTGTGGGAGACCAACTGGAAGCTGAACAAATAATGAACTTGTAGCCCCCCTGGAACAAACCAGCAGGGCGTGGATGAGAGCAGCAGCGATGAGGGAAGAGATGAAACCCAGTAGAGACCCCCTGAGCCTTCCTGGAGGGTGTTTCCAACACAAGAGAAAAAGAACCCTGGAGCAGAACTGCCGGAGCTCTGCCCTGCAACAGAACTGCAGAGGGACCGATGTAAAAGGGTAAGGCAAGTGCCACTAGGTGCCATTTGAGAAGCAGACCAGAGTCCCTCTTGGCTCGACCAATGCTGGAGCCCAGACCAGTGGTCTCTTCATCTCTCTCTTCCTCTCTCTCTTTTTCTGTCTCTCTGTGTCACCTGGAGGTGACAGTGCCCGGGGTCTTAAGAGATTTCCAGTGAAATGGGCAAGGCTAATGCATTGCCTTGTTTTGCTACTTCATACTTGTTGTGGTTTGAGGCTTGGAATGGGGTCGTGACCTTCCAGCAACTGGGAGGACCCCGGGTGGGTGTGAAACCATTGTATTCCCTCCCCTTCCCACACACACTCTGATAAGAGGCAGGGAGTGGTTTCTAATTTCACTCCTGCCTTGGAGCTCGGAGAGGAAAGTTCTCCTTTCACTCCGTGGGACCCTGGAACCATTTCTGAGGGTTTTGTATATTTTATCTTTTGTATTATTCCCCTAATCTTTATATATATAATTTTCCTTACCTCCCTTTTTCGTTTTCTGTTCCTTGTTGAACAATATACTTCATTTTTTTTAAAAGTGTCTCTCTCTCTCTCTCTCTCTCTCTCGAGGGGGTGGGGGAGAGGCGAGTACATAGTTCTGTTCTGTGTGGGTCCTGCCCTGAACCCCTTTTTACACGGAACCAGGACAATACTCTTTAATCCAGAAATAATTTTAACTGGATAAAGACACAACACTTGTTTTGCCTGCATTATTTTATATTTTTCCTGATGGCTTCTGTGAGAAGTCAAAACCAAACAACCCTGTCATGTAATAGTGGGATACAGCCGAGGGGGTACTGCACAGGAAATAAATCCTGTGCTAACCTGACCTAAAGTGAACAGGAGTCTAACAGAAACATGGTGTGTGTCTAAAGGAACAGGAATGATCATTTTTCCTGCAGAAGGTTACTTATCACAAGTAATAAAGCTGTTTGCTTATATTACATTCACACTAGCTCATTAAAGCCTTATTAGAAGCATAGCTCTTGCCTCTTGTGGAGTGGAAGCTGTTTTGAGGAGCGGGTGTAAAATCTCTCCATCCAGCTAATGGGTGGAGAACGTCTTACACTTTCTGCATATAACAAAAAACTCCAACATTGTTTTCTCCTGGGGAAATTCCCTAAAATTAGAAGAAAATGTTTTGATAGTGTTTTTACATTTTTAATATTTCAGAAAACTAAGTGCTGAATTTTTTTTTGAGACATTTTTAAGAAATAGCAGCTCCACCTTTTTGTATATAAAAATGTAAGCAGTAACAATGTTCTGGAGTTCCACGAGAAAAGTATTTCATGCCCCAACATGGGAGCAGGGAAGCCTTTTCAGGAAAAGAATCAAGTTGTGAAACTGGATGGGTACTCCAGCTTCTTTTGTTTTTTTTGTGTGGTTGTTGTGCACTTGTCATGCCAACATACCATCCATCTCCCTCCTCGGAAGGCTATCCAGTGCTGCTGGAGCCAGATGTGTCAAGAAATCTTCCTGTTGTACCTTGAGGTAGTTTGTTCTCTTGCCATCTAAATAGGGGTAGGAGGTGACACTATCACAGGCAGGTGGACTACATCAAAACATTATGACTTCTGTCAGAGTTGCATATCAAATTCCATGCACTTGGTGGAGCAGGTTATTTACTAATTGCTTGTTACTTCACTGAGTGGGCTCCGTGTGTTCCCCTTGATGCACAGCATGTCTTACTGGTGGAAAATTGCATTTTTTGAGTGCAACCATTTGCTTCTCTGCTTGCCCTCCACATAAAAGGCTGTAAAAGGGTAATAGTTGAGCAAGTCCACGTATTCCTCAGTTCCCTCCTCAGCCAAAGCAAGGAAAGCTGAACATGCAGCAGTAGTGCCTTAAACAGCTATTGGATCATAAGCCCGTCTCAGGAAGCTGTGTGCAATGTAAATGCTGGTGATTTGCAGCTGAAAATGTTCAGTTTTGAGGTAGTAATATTTCTTTTGTTAAAATACTCGTGGAAGATGT